GAATCCAAATCGGAAAAGAAGAAGTAAAGCTGTCACTGTTTGCAGATGACATGATACCAAAAATAGAGAATCCTAAAGATGCTTCCACGAAACTACTAGAGCTAATCAATGAATCTGGTAAAGTAGCAGGATACAAAATTAATGCACAGAAATCTCTGGCATTCCTATACACTAATGATGAAAAATCTGAAAGTGAAATCAAGAAAACACTGCCATTTACCATTGCAACAAAAAGAATAAAATATCTAGGAATAAACCTACCTAAGGAGACAAAAGACCTGTATGCAGAAAATTATAAGACTCTGATGAAAGAAATTAAAGATATACCATGTTCTTGGTTTGGAAGAATCAACATTGTAAAAATGACTCTACTACCCAAAGCAATCTACAGATTCAATGCAATCCCTATCAAACTACCACTGGCATTTTTCACAGAACTAGAACAAAAAAGTTCACAATTTGTATGGAAACACAAAAGACCCCGAATAACCAAAGCAATCTTGAGAACAAAAAACGGAGCTGGAGGAATCAGGCTCCCTGACTTCAGACTATGCTACAAAGCTACAGTAATCAAGACAGCATGGTACTGGCACAAAAACAGAAAGATAAATCAATGGAACAGGATAGAAAGCCCAGAGGTAAACCCACGCACATATGGTCACCTTATCTTTGATAAAGGAAGCAAGAATGTACAGTGGAGAAAGGACAGCCTCTTCAATAAGGGGTGCTGGGAAAACTGGACAGCTACATGTAAAAGTATGAGATTAGAACACTCCCTAACACCATACACAAAAATAAGCTCAAAATGGATTAAAGACCTAAATGTAAGGCCAGAAACTCTCAAACTCTTAGAGGAAAACACAGGCAGGACACTCCATGACATAAATCACAGCAAGATCCTTTTTGACCCACCTCCTAGAGAAATGGAAATAAAACCAAAAATAAACAAATGGGACCTAATGAAACTTCAAAGCTTTTGCACAGCAAAGGAAACCATAAACAAGACCATAAGACAACCCTCAGAATGGGAGAAAATATTTGCAAATGACGCAACTTACAAAGGATTAATCTCCAAAATTTATAAGCAGCTCATGCAGCTTAATAACAAAAGAACAAACAACCCAATCCAAAAATGGGCAGAAGACCTAAACAGGCCTTTCTCCAAAGAAGATATACAGAGTGCCAACAAACACATGAAAGAATGCTCAATATCACTAATCATTAGAGAAATGCAAATCAAAACTACAATGAGATATCATCTCACACCAGTCAGAATGGCCATCATCAAAAAGTCTAGAAACAATAAATGCTGAAGAGGGTGTGGAGAAAAGGGAACCCTCTTTCACTTTTGGTGGGAATGTAAATTGATACAGCCACTGTGGAGAACAGTATGGAGGTTCCTTAAAAAACTACAAATAGAGCTACCATATGACCCAGCATTCCCACTACTGGGCATATACCCTGAGAAAACCATAATTCAAAAAGAGTCATGTACCAGAATGTTCTTTGCAGCTCTATTTAGTGCAGCCCAGAGATGGAAACAACCTAAGTGTCCATCATTGGATGAATGGATAAAGAAGATGTGGCACATATATGCAATGGAATATTACTCAGCCATAAAAAGAAATGAAATTGAGCTATTTGTAATGAGGTGGATAGACCTAGAGTCTGTCATACAGAGTGAAGTAAGTCAGAAAGAGAGATACAAATACCGTATGCTAACACACATATATGGAATTTAAGAAAAAAAAAATGTCATGAAGAGCCTAGGGGTAAGACAGGATTAAAGACACAGCCCTACTAGAGAATGGACTTGAGGATATGGGGAGCGGGAAGGGTAAGCTGTGACAAAGCGCGAGAGAGGCATAGACATATATACACTACCAAACGTAAGGTAGATAGCTAGTGGGAAGCAGCCGCATAGCACAGGGAGATCAGCTCAGTGCTTTGTGACTGCCTGGAGGGGTGGGATAGGGAGGGTGGGAGGGAGGGAGACGTAAGAGGGAAGAGATATGGGAACATTTGTATATATATAACTGATTCATTTTGTTGTAAAGCAGAAACTAACACACCATTGTAAAGCAATTATACTCCAATAAAGATGTTAAAAAGAAAAAGACTCTATGCTTCCAATGTAGGGGGTGTGGGTTCAATCCCTGGTCGAGGAACTAAGATCCCACATGCTGTGCAGTGCAACCAAAAAATTAAAGATAAATGAATAAAAAAGATCTATTCTCTTAAAAAAGATCTATTCTCTTAAAATGGACTTGAGGACATGGGGAGGGGGAAGGGTTAGTTGGGACTAAATGAGAGAGTGGCCTTGACATATATACACTACCAAATGTAAAATAGGTAGTGGGAAGTAGCCACATAGCACAGGGAGATCAGCTTGTTGCTTTGTGACCACCTAGAGGGGTGGGATAGGGAAGGTGGGAGGGAGACACAAGAGGGAGGGGGGGCTTCCCTGGTGGCGCAGTGGTTGAGAATCTGCCTGCCAATGCAGGGGACACGGGTTCGAGCCCTGGTCTGGAAAGATCCCACATGCTGCAGAGCAACTAGGCCCATGAGCCACAACTTCTAAGCCTGCACATCTGGAGCTTGTGGTCCACAACGAGAGGCCCACGCACCGCAATGAAGAGGCCCCCGCTCGCCTCAGCTGGAGAAGGCCCGCATGCAGAAATGAAGACCCAACACAGCCAGGAGTGAATGAATTAATGAATGAATAAATAAATAAAAGAGGGAGGGGATATGGGGATATATGTGTACGTATAAGTGATTCACTTTGTTATACAGCAGAAACTAACACAGCATTGTAAAGCAATTATACTCCAATAAAGATGTTTAAAAAAAGATCTATTCTCTTAGCAACTTTCAAATATGCAATACAGTATTAACTATAGTTACCACGTTGTACATTATGTCTGAATGCATACTTTAAAAAGAAAAAGAAACCTCCATACTATACTTCACAGTGGCTGCACTAATTTACATTTCTGCCAACAGTGCAGAAGGACTCCCTTGCCTCCACATCCTCTCCAGCATTTCTTATTTGTAGACTTTTTAAAGATGACCATTCTGACTAGTGTGAGGTAATACCGCATTGTAGTTTTGATTTGCATTTCTCTAATAATTAGCAAAGTTGAGCATCTTTTCACATGTCTATTGGCCATCTGTATGTCTTCTCTGGAGAAATGCCTATTTAGGTTTTCTGCCCATTTTTTGAGTGGGTTGTTTTGGTTTTGTTGTTGTTGTTGCTATTATTGAGTTGTATGACCTGTTTGTATATTTTGGAAATTAAGCCCTTGTAGGGAAAATTGACAAATCTTTAGCCAGACTGATCAAGTGAAAAGAGGAGAAGACTCATTTACTAAAATCAATAATGACATAGGTGACAACACTAGTCTCACAGAAGTGAAAAGGATTATAAGAAAATAGTACAAATAATTAATGCCAACAAATTAAATAACCTAGATTAAATGAGTAAATTCCTATAAAAATTACTGAAACTAACTCAAGAAATAAAAATACGAATATATGTAAAACAAGTAGTGAGATTAAATTAGTTTAAAAAAACCCCCAGGCCCTGGTGTCTTCACTGGTGAACTCTGAAAAATGTTTAAAGAAGAATTAACACCAAACCTTCACAAAATCTTTCCATAAATTAGAAGTGGAGAAGTGGAGAGTATCCATCTCAACCCAGCATTGAGGCCAGCATTAACTCAATACATAAATTGTCTGAAGACTGAGGTGATGCCTAAATGTAAAAGCTAAAAATACAAAACTCTTAGAAGAAAACATAAGGTAAATAATCATGACCTTGGATTAGGCAAGGTTTCTAAGACATGATACCAAAACAAAATCTACAAAAGAAAAAATAGATAAATTGGATATCATTTAAAATGATAACACAACAACAACAACAACAAAACCCTTTTGTGCTTTAAAGGACATCATCAATAAAGTGAAAAGACAATCCATATAATGGGAGAAAATATTTGCAAATTATATATCTGATACGGACCTAGTCTCCAGAATATACAAAGAACTTTTACAATTCAACAGTAAAAAGACAATACAGTTTTAAAATGGGCAAAGGATTTGGGTAGATATTTCACCAACAAAGATGAACAAATGACCAATAAGTACATGAAATGATGCTCACCATCATTAGTCATTAAGGAAATGCAAATCAAAACCATAGTGAGAGGGCTTCCCTGGTGGCGCAGTGGTTGAGAGTCCACCTGCCAATGCAGGGGACACGGGTTCGTGCCCCGGTCTGGGAAGATCCCACATGCCATGGAGCAACTAAGCCCATGCGCCACAACTAATGAGCCTGCATAACACAACTACTGAAGCTCACATGCCTAGAGCCTGTGCTCCGCATCAAGAGAAGCCACTGCAATGAGAAGCCCGCACACCACAAGGAAGAGTAGCCCCCGCTTTCTGCAACTAGAGACAGCCTGCACGCAACAACAAAGAGCCAACGCAGCCAAAAATAAAAAATAAAAAAAAAACATAGTGAGAGATCACTATACACACACACTAAGATAGCTATAATAAAAAAGGATGGACATTAACAAGTTTTGGTGAGAATGTAGAAAAATTGGAATCCTTGTACATTACCCTTGGGGATGTAAAATGGTGCAACCACTTTAAAATATAGTTTTATAGTTCCTCAAAAAGCTAAATTTAGAGTTACCACATGGTCTAGAAATTCTACTCAGGCATCCAAGAAAAACTAAAACATATGTCCACACAAAAACTAAAAACTAAACACCAAAACTAAAAACCACTGAGATGTATGTACTCTTTAAAAGTTTGAATTTTGTGGTGTGTGAATTATAAATAAAACTGTCCAAACATAAGAGAGTGAGGCATCTAGGGTGAAGAACTGAAGGAGGCACTTTTTTTTAACCCCTTAAATGTTGTGCCCTAGTTATCTTTCTTACCCCACCCTATTCTTGTATCTGCTACTAATTTACATTCTAAATTTCCCACAGGAAGAAAGGCCCACTGAAATGCTAGAGAAGCTGTTCCACAAAAGGATATGTAAAAGTTGGTTCAAGGGATACACGGGGTGGACTATAGTGGACATGGACATGTACCCTCCAGATTTCTTGTGAAGAGTTTCTTGTTGCACTAGTAGCAGGGTGTGCTGTGAGCAGTCTTCAGCTGCCAGCCTCTTCAGAGATGGCCTGAGCTGCAGAAATCCACTTTGCTCAAGGTAATGCTCTTTCTGAGGCATTCCACACTCAGTGACTGATAGCAGAAATGATATAAAGGCTCGGCCATTTTAGCCTAATGTGGGATAAATCTGACGGGTCACTTTAGCTGCACAGCTACCCTGTAGAGTAGGCTGAGGCGGTTGTTCAGGCCACCATAGAGCCCAATTTCCCCCTCTTCCCATCCAACTTGCTTCTCTTCTTTCCACTGTTGTTATCCCAAAGGCACCTCCTAATAAACATTCTGCCTGCTAAAAACTCCATCTCAAAGTTTGTTTTCCTGACTACCTAATCTTTGACAGGGTCTACAGAAGTTATAAGCAAACAAACAAAGAGATGAACAACAAACACACAGAATCCATTACAGTTAACCAGTATCTTTCTCTTCAGGAATGGTGATACCCACCTATAAAGGTACGACACCCCAGAGTTAGAGAATCATCTCAGCTCAGGTTTTCGACAATCGTTCATAGAAATGACCTAAATTCCTTTACAGAATGAAATGGGGGAAAGAGGGACACAGTAAGTAAATGATGATAGGTGTTGAGTGCAGCCTCAGATGCTGACAGGGGTGGTGAAGCATGGTGGGAGGGATGTGGTGTAGGTGGCTGAGAAAGGACACACCCCCTTGGCTTACAGTCTTTTGATAGATGTGGGTGATAATCTCTATAATCACCTTTGGTGTAGGGTTAATGATTAGAGTTTAGAATTCGTTTTCTTAGAGTTTTTCAGCTACTCATTCCTGTTTCTTCTCTCCTTCCATCCTCTTCCACTCACTGACTTATTCTAGACCCCCTGGTTCTTACTGCACATACACTTGGCCTGAGGGTTAGGGTGGCCTCCCAGCATATCTGTGTCATGGACATGGATGCAGGCTCTGGGAGAAATCTATGCATGATGAGAAGTTGTGGGGTTTTGATGAGCAGGCAATGGACCTCAGAGCATCAGCCAAGATGCTTAATCAACATATAAATGTGGTTTTGTAAAGTGTTTCCAACATCTCTTATTCCATGAACACTGCTTAAAGACTAACTCTCACTATATACATTTTTTGAAAACTGAAATAGAAAAATAGAGTATGAATTGAAGTTCTACTGCTTATTACCTATATCGTTCTGGCAAAGTTACAAAACAACTGTGAGCTGAAGTTTTCTTAGGTATAAAATGAAATGAGAGTACCTGAGTGGCCCACCTCACAAAAACAGTTGTAAAGATAAAGGCAGTGGAGGGGGTACCTTCAAGATGGTGGAGGAGTAAGACATGGAGATCACCTGCCTCCCCAAAAATACATCAAAAATACACCTACATGTGGAACAACTCCTACAGAACACCTACTGAAGGCTGGCAGAAGACCTCAGACTTGCCAAAAGGCAAGAAACTCCCCACGTACCTGGGTAGGGCAGAAGAGAAAGAAAAAAGCAGAGACAAAAGATATGGATGGGTCCTGCACCTCTGGGAGGGAGCTGTGAAGGAGAAAAAGTTTCCACACACTAGGAAGCCCCTTCACTGGCAGAGAAAGCAGGTGAGTTGGGGGGAAGGTTCGGAGCCATGGAGGAAAGCGCAGCAATTGGGGTGCAGAGGGCAAAGTGGAGAGATTCCTGCACAGAGGATTGGTGCCAACCAAGACTCACCAGCCTGAGAGGCTTGTCTGCTCACCCGCCGGGGCGGGCGGGGCTGGGAGCTGAGGCTCAGGCTTCGGAGGTCAGATCCCAGGGAGAGGACTGGGGGTTGACTGCTTGAACACAGCCTAAAGGGGGATAATGCATCACAGCTAGCTGAGAGGGAGTCCAGGAAAAAGTCTGGACCTGCTTAAGAGGCAAAAGACCATTATTTCAGGTGTGCGAGGAGAGGGGATTCCTTCCCTGTCTGCCCACAGAAGGCAGAGCACTGCCTAAATGAGCTCCAGTGACGGGTGCGAACTGCGGCTATCAGCTCAGACCACAGAGATGGGCATGAAATGCTAACACTGCTGCTGCAGCCACCAACAATCCTGCGTGCAAGCACAGGTCACTATCCACACCACCCCACCCCAGGAGCCTGTGCAACCCACCACTGCCAGGGTCCCATAATACAGAGAAAACTTCCCCAAGAGAACACATGGAGTGCCTCAGGTTGTTGCAAGGTCACAACAGCTTCTGCTGCCACAGGCTCGCCCTGCATTCCAATTATAACTACTGTACCGCTCCTGCCCCCAGGAATGAGTGAGCAACAGCTCCCTAACAGTCGCTGCATTAACCCCATCCTGTCTGGGCAGGAAACAGATGCCTGAGGGTGACATACATGCAGAGGTGGAGCCCATACGAAAGCTGAACCCCAGGAGCTGTGCAAACAAAGAAGAGAAAGGGTAGTTTCTCCATACAGTCTCAGGAGTAGCGGATTAAATCCCCATAATCTACTTGATGTACTCTGCATCTGTGGAATACCTGAATAGACAATAAATCATACCAGGCAGTAGACTTGGGAACAACTGTAGACTTGGGGTGTGCTGGCTGCAACTGATTTGTTTCTGATTTTTATGTTTATCTTAGTATAGTTTTTAGTGCTGTTATCATTAGTGGATTTGTTTAACAGTATGCATGCTCTCTTCTTTTTTTAATTACTATTACTTTTTAATTTTAATAATGTTTTTTCAATTTTTTATTTTAATAACTTAAATTTTTTTTTAATTTATTTTCTTCCTTTTTTTTTCCCTTTTCTTCTGAGCCATGTGGCTGACAGAGTCTTGGTGCTCTGGCCTGGTGTCAGGCCTGAGACTCTGAAGTGGGAGAGCCAAGTAGAGGACATTGGACCGCCAGACACCTCCCGGCCCCACATAATATCAACCAGCAAGAGCTCACCCAGAGATCCGTCTGAGGGCTAAGACACAGCTACACCCAATGGCAAGCAAGCTCCAGTGCTGGATGTTCCATGCCAAATAACTAGCAATGCAGGAACACAACCTCACCCATTAGTAGAGAGGCTACCTAAAATCATACCAAGTTCACAGACACCCCAAACACACTGCCAGATGCAGCCCTGCCCACCAGAAAGACAAGATCCAGCGCCACACACCAGAACACAGGCACCAGTCCCCTTTACCAGGAAGCCTACACAACCCAGTGAAGCAACCTTACCCACTGGGGGCAGACACCAAAAACAACGGGAACTACGAACCTGCAGCATGAGAAAAGAAGACCCCAAACACAGTAAGTTAAGCAAAATGAGAAGACAGAGAAATATGCAGCAGATGAAGGAGTAAGGCAAAAACCCACCAGACCTAACAAATGAAGAATAGGCAGTCTGCCTGAAAAAGAATTCACAGTAATGATAGTAAAGATTATCCAAAAATTTGGAACTAGAATGGAGAAAATACAAGAAAGGTTTAAGAATGAACCAGAAGAACTAAAGAGCAAAGAAACAATGATGAAAAGCACAATAAATGAAATTAAAAATTTTCTAGAAGGAATCAATAGCAGAATAACTGAGGCAGAAGAACGGATAAGTGACCTGGAAGATAAAATAGTGGCAATAACTACCACAGAGCAGAATAAAGAAAAAGAAAAGAACTGAGGACAGTCTCAAAGACCTCTGGGACAACATTAAACACACCAACATTTGAATTATAGGGGTCCTAAAAGAAGAGGAGAAAAAGAAAGGAACTGAGAAAATAATATTTGAAGAGATTATACTTGAAAATTTCCCTAACATGGGAAAGGAAATAGTCAAGTCCAGGAAGCTCAGAGAGTCCCATACAGGATAAATCCAAGGAGAAACATGCCAAGGCACATATTAATAAAACTATCAAAAATTAAATATGAAGAAAAAATATTAACTGGACAAATTCTTAGAAATGCACAACCTGCCAAGACTGAATCAGGAAGAAAGAAAACATGAACAGACCAATCACAAGCACTCAAATTGAAACTGTGATTAAAAATCTTCCAACAAACAAAAGCCCAGGACCAGATGGCTTCACGGGCCAATTCTATCGAACATTTAGAGAAGAGCTAACACCTATCATTCTCAAACTCTTCCAAAATATAGCAGAGGGAGGAACACTCTGAAACTCATTCTATGAGGCCACCATCACCCTGATACCAAAACCAGACAAGGATGTCACAAAGAAAGAAAACTACAGGCCAATATCACTGATGAACATAGATGAAAAAATCCTCAACAAAATACTAGCAAACAGAATCCATCAGGACATTAAAAGGATCATACACCATGATCAAGTGGGGTTTTTCCCAGGAATGCAAGGATTCTTCAATATACGCAAATCAATCAATTTGATAAACCATATTAAAAAACTGAATGAAAAAAACCATATGATCATCTCAACAGATGCAGAGAAAGCTTTTGACAAAATTCAACACCCTTTTATAATAAAAACCCTGCAGAAAGTAGGCATAGAGGGAACTTTCCTCAACATAATAAAGGCCATATATGACAAACCCACAGCCAACATTGTCCACAATGCTGAAATACTGAAAGCATTTCCACTAAGATCAGGAACAAGACAAGGTTGCCTACTCTCACCACTATGATTCAACATAGTTTTGGAAGTTTTAGTCACAGCAATCAGAGAAGAAAAGCAAATAAAAGGAATCCAAATGGGAAAAGAAGAAGTAAAGCTGTCACTGTTTGCAGATGACATGATACTATACATAGAGAATCCTAAAGATGCTACCAGAAAAATACTAGAGCTAATCAATGAATTTGATAAAGTAGCAGGATACAAAATTAATGCACAGAAATCTCTGGCATTCCTATACACTAATGATGAAAAATCTGAAAGTAAAATCAAGAAAACACTCCCATTTACCACTG